CAGCCACCCTAACTTGCGGAGGCTGAGAAGCTAGTTTTCTGCCTGGTTATGTTGGCCAGCATATACAGGGCATCGGAACTAGATGTGAACAGTGTCTGAAACCTGTTTTAAAGAAGGTATGCCTCATTTCACACCACCCAACACAACTATATATGTACACAGAAAACTTGTTTTTAAAACAATGTTTAAAAACATTTCCTACCTGTAATGTAGAGAGGGCCAAGGCCGACAGGCCCATAGCCCTGAACTTCTGGGAATTACAGTCAATCAGTAGTGCCCAGCAGCCTGTGCTGGTGCATCTACTTCTAGCACAGCACTGTGGTTCTCTGCCCCCTAAAGCCTGGCTCAGCCTTGCACCCTCCATAGGCTGAAACCACATTTGTATTGTATCCACAAATCATGCTGCAGCATTGTGCTTTGCAGAAATGGGGCGCAATTTGTGAAGGACAAGGGAACGACACTTCAGTTTCAGCTACGCCACAAATCCAAGCTGGGCTTTGGCTGGGGGCAAAGGATTGTGGCGTGAAGAATGGATTGGCAGGGACAGCTTTAAAATTCAGCTGTCAACTTTCCCTTTTCCCTCCTCAGTCTTTCTTCCCTACCACATCCCTTAGCAACCCTGGCTGCTTCCAGGAGGCCGTTGGCCCCTAGTAGAGGAGCTAGGGGTGCAGCCTGGCACCTGGGGGGGGGGCGGGGGAGAAGGGAGGGGGAACAGGGACTCAGCCGAGAGCTCAAAAAGAGGAGAATGGGGGTAGGGGGGTGGAGACTAGTGACGGGTCCTTATATCCGAAGAAGGAAGCTAAGGAAATAAAGCACCCTCCCCCCCAATATCCCTACATAGCCTACTGCCAAAGCCCAACCCCCAAATACCCCACAGCCCGATCCCCCCAACTTTCCCCAAAGCACTACACCACTCCTTCCTCAAACCCCCCGGCTCCCCAGCAGCAGCACGGGGCTGAGACGCCCTGGGAGGCGGGGGCGGCTCCGCGCTGGCTGCGCCGCGGCCTGGCCGGGCAGAGCCGGGGCTGACTTTACCCGTAGGAGGCAGCAGCAGCAGGTCCCCGGAGCCCGAGCGGCGGCGCCCCGCGCGCGGCCGGCGGGAGCTGGGAGAGGAGAACCCGCAGCAGCGCCCCGCCAGCGCCCGGCCGAGCCATTCCCGCTCCCCGCAGCTGCCAGCCGCCCCGCCTCGGGCGCAGGGCGGGCCGCGGTGCTGCAAAGACCCCACCCCCTGGCTCCCGCGTCGCCCCACACGGGCCACCCGCCAGATCACGTTTTGCCCCAGGGTGCCTCCAGCGCCGCGCCGCTCTTCGGGGCGGTGGCTGAGCGAGGGCTGCGGGAACGGAGGGGACTCGGGCTGCTTCGAAGTGGGGCGAGGCTGGACAGGCCCCCAGGGGGAGCCCTGGTGCAGGAGCTGGTCCCAGGGGAGCAGCGTCTCCCGTCCCCCCCGTTGCCCCGTGTGCCCGCTCCTCCTGCAGAACGGAGGCCCCAAAGCTGAGTGAGTGGCATTGTGACCTGGTGCAGTGCCACCCATGTGCAGCTGGAGGGGCTGCGGGGCTTCGCCTGAGGGACCCCTGCATGCTCCTCCTCATTGCTGCCCTTGGGAAGGCCCAATGCTGGTGACTTGGCACCCCTGCCCATTGGCAGAATGAGTGTACGGCCAGGGCCGGCTCCAGGGTTTTGTCCGCCCCAAGCAGCCAAAACCAAAAAAAA